TCACTGCAACCCTCCAACCCTCAATGCTCCTCCTCTATCCACACTGAGGTGACATGCACTGCTTCTATCGTGGCTGCAGGAACTGAAGTTGGGATAGTCCCAACCCACCACCCCACCTAGTGGACACTTATGTTGTGTTGTCTGAAGTCTGTTGCATATATCTGTCTGAGGTGTTTTTTTGCAGAGCAAAGCTGCCCTCCCGGTGGGAGGTTAACTCTGAAGTGCCTTTTTTCCCTCCACCTGAACCAGCCCTCATCTCTATTAAGGTAGCGCGACTCAGTGTTGCGAATGACCACAGTCACCAATTCTTGTCATGTGTCTTACCCTTGTATGTCTGATCTCTGAACTGTGCATACTGAAACTCTAATTTCTCTCTGGGATTAATAAAGTATCTTTGATTTGATTTGATTTGAAAAATAATTTTTAACTTTAGATTTCCATTAGTTTTGGACAAAACAAAACCAATAAAAATTTAATACTGCTTGAAAAAAAACACTGTCAATGTCTCTTTAGGTTAACAGCAGTGGTTGTTGTGGCATTTGTCGACTGCAGATATTAGAGTCCTGTTAGAGGAGCTGGGTCTGGACCCTCTACCACCCCGACAGTGGATTGGCAGTGAGGGCTGGATTACTGTCCCTTACCTGATTAGGTACAGTTTATGTGCAGGAGCCATTGGAGCTGGTATTCAGCAATCTGTCATCCCAGGTCTGAGACATTTCCTACTGGATCTTTCCCCCACTGAAGTAGCTGCCTCATCTGTGCTTACTGAATTTTGGGAGGATGCATTTAATTGCATGGTGAGAAAAAGTAAGAAGAGATGCCTTATGTTACTTTATTTGTGTGTTTCCATGAGTCACTTGTTGTTTTGTGGTATGAAGCATGCAGCAAATATATGTCAATAAATACACTTACTGCTGTGTTGTACTGATATTTCTTCCTAACTGGAAATAAACAATGCACATTTTCCGCATTTCTTATAGTCGTAGGTGTAGGCTCTTGTGACGTGGTAGCATTTATAGTTCATTCATATTTGATAAGTCATTTTTCCTCCTTTTTAACTGCGAGTGCAGCCATAACACTGTGTGATGGAACTGAAGACATAAAAACACTGAAAAGCCTGCACACTGATACATCTCAGTTAAGAATTACAAACATTGTGCACAAGGTGGTGTATGCAGTAGCTCATGCTATTCACAATGCTTTGTGTCAGCAAACTAACTTCATCACTCATTGTGACAGACACCACAACCAGGAGTCTAACCAGGTCAATAAGTAAAGAGAAAACATTAGAATTGTGTTTAAGACATAATCCTTAAAATTAGTGGTGTGATTGTCATTTGTTTATTTACGATTATTTTTCTTATAGGTGCTATAAAAACTGCAAAAAGTCAACTTCTTTCGCAACGGTTATCCTGTATCATTTGATGCTAACGGAGATCCTGTAGCTTTTTATGAGCTGGTCAACTGGCAGAAGAGTGAGAGTGGAGTTATTGAGCTGGTAACAGTAGGGTACTATGATACTAACGGGAACATAACCAGGATGGGTGGTGGTACACAAGTAAGGAGCAGAAGGAAGACAGTAAATGGTTCCTGAATTACTGCAAATGAAAACCATTTAAAAATCACTGAATGTAGCTAATAAAACAAAGAAGCCAATTGTAAAGTTTTTTTATTATATGTTATTCATTTTTGTTGATGTGAAAGGTCCCAGTATCGGTGTGCTCTGAGAGTTGTACTCCAGGAAGTTGTAAGATGTTGCAGAAAGGAAAACCCATCTGCTGCTATGATTGTATACCATGTCCTGAAGGAGAGATTAGCAACACGACGGGTAAAGTAAAATGGTTATTTCTCTCAAAAGCATTAAATATACCAGTGCTAGCAGATTTGTCCTTTAGATTCTCCAGACTGTTTCCCGTGTCCCAGTGAATCGTGGCCTAATGCACAAAGAGACGCTTGTTTCCCCAAACCTGTGGAGTTTCTTTCCTATGATGAAGTCCTGGCAATCATCCTGGCTGCATTCTCTGTTAGTGGGGCCTGTCTGGCCATCATAACAGCAGCTATTTTCTTTCATCACAGAACAACTCCAAGTGTTTTCCCCTCAGAAGAAGCTACAATGGTGTTCTGCTAAGCTGTGGTGTCCTCATCGGCTTGAACACTACTTCAAACCACTTAAACATTCTCCCTCTCTTGACAACCCTGACACTAGTCAGTGAATCTCTGCAATCTGCTGGGTTCCTTATGTAGGAAACTTTTTACTGATTGGCTTAATGAACTGACCTGTATTGGAATGTTTACTGTGTGAAGTGCCTTGAGACGACTCTGACCCTAACTGATTTGAAAATAATTTAAAAAAACACATTTATCAAGATTTTCAACAAAATATAAACCAAAAATAAATTCAAATTGTTCTAATACTAATTTGAAGTATGCATTCTCTTTTTTACTGGCAAACGAAGCCGCACTCATTTGATAATGATTAGACTCTAGAATGTTTATTTACTCTTTTATTTCAGTTGTTGGACAATGCCTTTTTTTTTTTTTTTTGCAATAGGCCTACAAATAAAGTATTTAAGAGAACAACTATAACAATAACAGACTCACAAAATTATTCAGTGTAATTGTATGTGTGTCTCTGTCATGCCCCTCCTGTCTAGGAGCTGAAGGAGGGAGTAATGCACAACATTACAATAACAGGAATGAACCAAGCCAAGGTCTTTGCAACAATTAAAATGTTTATCAGAACAAAGGTTCACTCAACTTAGAAGAGGCACTGCAACATAAACAAAAGCAAGTTTCTGTGTCCGTTACTAAGTGCTTGAAATTTAGCCTATAAGGAGAAAACCAACGTGCTGGATGATCCCACAGCAGAATTACTCACAAGTGAAACAGACAGGCTCTAAATTAAAGGTGCTCTTCTATCTATGAAGCAGAAAAGTAAACTAACAGATACACAAAGCAGAAAGTGAAAATATTTTCAAACACTGGTGGAAACTGGGTTGAACTCTGCAGAGAAGAAACTCAAGAAACTGCAATGCAAAACTCTACAAAATATCTCAAGGACAACATTATCTTTGCAGTTTCACAACTATAAATTATTTAGTTAAACACTAGTTTTACTAAGTAGAAACACATTATTATTTTTCTATATGGTGCAGGTAGCACCCAAATGTCTGGAAAACTCGGCCTTTAAAAGACTTGAGCTGTCTAATTGCAGATTCTTTGCAGCTGGTGCTGCACAGCAGCCGTGCCTCTGTCAGTGGTGCTGAAATAGAGAGGCTGGAGCAGAACCTGAAAGGAGGAGAGGAGAGCTGAGGAGAAGGAGCGTTACAGCAGGCTGGGGTTTGGGCTGACTTTGAGGGTTGTTCAGGTGGTTGGCCGACGGCCTGTACGGGCCCGCTAAGACAGCAGCCCGGCTTCGCTTCTGATCAGCCTCGATTGTTGCAGACAATGGGGAGGAAGGGGACTAGTAGGGCTGGAGTGGCGGTTCATTCGGTGGGGCCGGCAAAGAGGGACCGTGGGGGCGGCAGTGATGCGTCAGATGGTGACTGGGATGCGCAGCTGAAGCAACAGAGGCTGGAGGAGGGTGGCTTTGTGATGCAATTTAGGGTGGTAGGAGGTGCGCGTTTTGCTACCTCTAACCCGGTGTCCCGGGAGCTGAGTGTCGTGGTAGGGGATGTGCTAGATGCTACCATGGTGTTCAGTGGGCTGTTAGTGATGGTGTGCCGGAATAAGTCCCAGTGCCACAAAGCACTGCGGCTTGAGAAGTTTCTGGGGGTGGACGTGGTGGTTTCTGAGTCGAGGTCTGGTTGTATGATTACAGGTGTGGTGTACAACATTTCCAATGAGGTCTCTGAGTCGGAGGTGTTTGGTTCCCTAAGTAAGGCGGCTGTTTGGCATCTGGGGTTTAACGCATGTAGGTCAACTCCGCTGCTGATTACTCTCGATGCGGTGGAGCTCCCTGTTCGTGTCCAGTTGGGCTTCCTTCGTTTTGCAATGAGGGCATACGAGGAACCTCCACTGAGGTGTTTTAGGTGTCAGGGATATGGTCATGTGGCCAGTGCGTGTGTGGCGGGGGTGCGTTGTCAGAGGTGCGGGGGTGACCATGGTAGCAAGAGTAGTGATTTACCGCTCCGATGTTGTAACTGTGTTGGGAACCATCAAGCGGCTTACAGGGGTTGCGTGGTGTGTAGGGCGGCGGTGGAGGTGGGGAAAGTTCAGGCTGAGCATAAGGTGTTGTATGCTGAGGCGGTGCGTCGTATGTGGGTATGGAATAGTGGTGCGTCCGGGTCTTGTAATGCGCCTTTGTCAACTGGAGGTGGGGATGAGGGGGTGGGTGAGGTGGTTGTGAGGGATAAGAGGAAGTTTTTGGCGTTTCTAGTTGAGGCCTTGTGGAGGGTGAAGACTGGAATATCCAACAAGCCCGATGTAGCTCATGAAGTGACAGCACTGGCGGAGGCCTTGTTGGTTTTTTTCTGAAGTGTCCCCCAAGGAGGTTTGGGGGGCAACGTGTTTGCGGGGTGTTAGGTGTTCTGGGTCTGTTGTGGGACGTCTTGGTGGTGGGATGGTGGGGGTGGGAGTGTGAGTGTGAGTATGGGGTGAACCTCCGTGTGGGGTTGAGTGTTTTCACTGGGGTGTGAGCAGGTGGTGGATTTTTGTTGATGGTGGTTCTGTGGGACCACAGGGTGGGATGGTTTGCGTGCCTATTGTGTGAAGTGGGATTTGCTAGCTCAGTGTGTTGGCTGGTGTGGCAGCAATTCACCTTATGGGCATAGGGCCTGCCTATTTTCACAGAAGAAGAAGAACCTGAAAGCGAACAGGTTAATTATTATATGAAATTCAAATGAACCTTTCACCGTGGCTCTTGAAAAGAAAATTATAGTAGCACAAAAATAGTTTGTATATGCCTTGTCTTGATTTCAAACCTTTGCTGAATTTTTTAAAATTTACATATACATTTATGAGCATGGATCAAACAAAACTAACTTAACTACATACAACAATTAATTTTTATTCATTAAATATTTCTTAGAGTTTTTCTCAGGCTGAAATAAGATGATGAGACACTTTGGAGCAAATATACACAGAATCAGTCCAAAACTGGAGGCCAGAATAGCAAATATCTCCACAGCTACAGTCAATTTTCCAGGAGAGCTGACATATGCTGGGATGAAGGTGAGCCACACTGCACAGAATATCAGCATGCTGAAGGTTATCAGCTTGGCTTCATTAAAATTATCAGGTAGTTTCCGAGCTAGAACAGCTAACACAAAGCAGAAAACAGCCAGCAGGCCAATGTACCCGAGCACAGCCCAGAACCCAACAGCAGAACCTAATGCACATTCCAGGATGATCTTCTCCTTGTATGTGCTCAGATTCTTCATTGGGAATGGAGGGCTGAGTAACAACCACACAGTACAGATTAATACTTGAACAAATGTAAAAAATACAACAGTCATTCTTTGCTGTGGAGGCCCAAACCATTTCATGACATTACTACCTGGAAGTGTAGCTTTAAAGGCCATTAAAACCACTACAGTTTTGCCAAGAACACAGGAGATACAGAGAACAAAGGTGATACCAAACGCTGTGTGTCGCAGCATGCAGGACCAATCAGAGGGAGCTCCGATGAAAGTTAATGAACATAAGAAACACAGAGTCAGAGAGAAGAGCAGCAGGAAGCTCAGCTCAGAGTTGTTGGCTCTGACAATTGGAGTTGTTCTGTGATGAAAGAAAATAGCTGCTGTTATGATGGCCAGACAGGCCCCACTAACAGAGAATGCAGCCAGGATGATTGCCAGGACTTCATCATAGGAAAGAAACTCCACAGGTTTGGGGAAGCAAGCGTCTCTTTGTGCATTAGGCCACGATTCACTGGGACACGGGGAACAGTCTGGAGAATCTAAACAAAAATCAATAAATGTTGCATTATTTTTCGTTCATTTTTGTCATCTAAGTATTGGATTGAAAATGTTTTACTTTACTTGTTGTGTTACTGATCTCTCCATCAGGACATGGTATACAATCATAGCAGCAAATGGGTTTTCCTTTCTGTAACACTTTACGAGTTCCTGGACGACAACTCTCAGAGCACACTGATGCTGGGACCTAGAACGGCAATGAAACCAAAATGTGAACCAAACATCTAAATAATTTAATAACTTTTTAATTGTCTGTGTTCTGTTCACTGGCCACATTTACTTTGTTACCATTCACCCAGGATATGTTCCTGTTGGTATGAAACTCCTGTCCTTTAGGCAGTGATGCATCATAGTACCCTACTGTTACCAGCTCAGTAACTCCACGCTCACTCTTCTGCCAGTTGACCAGCTCATAAAAAGCTACAGGGTCTCCATTAGCATCAAATGATACAGGGTAACCGTTACGGGAAAATTTAACTTTTTTTAGATTAGTTAGAACCTATGACAAAACAGGAATGTAAGGTAGAAAATAAGAATACAACACATGTTTCAACAAATTTTGTTGTGTGTAATTTTAACAAACTTTTAGGAAATGTTGTCATTTTTTATTAACCTGTTTGGACTCCGGGTACCCGTGTTTATCACACTTAGTTATAAAGTCTAAATCCCAACACACTGCATTGTGAATAGCATGAGCTATAGCGTAAACAGCCTTGTACACCATGTTAGTGACTCTTAACTGAGATGTATCAGTGTACGGGTTTTTGATTGTTTTGATATCTTCAGTTCCATCACACAATTTTGTGGCTGGATCAGCAGCTAAAAACAAAAAGGAGACAGATTAATTTACCCGTGAAAGAAAAATTACAAGATTTCATCTGAAGCTACTTGCACAAAGCATTAGCTTTTCATCTTTATCTTTCAATAGCATGCTTCAGTCAATAAACTGGTATCATGTCACAGCTACATCATGAAAACATATTTTCAAGAATAATTCATGAAATGTATATATGTTTTTTTGATGAAATGAAATGTCCCGATAAGCAGTTTGTATTGTGTTTGCAAACAGTTTAGCATACTTAGTTCATTCAAATGTTGTGAAAATAGGTTCTTTAAACCTTTCTCACCTTTGTTCATTGAGCATTTGAAAGAATCCTCCCAGAACTCAGTCAGCACTGGGGATGCAGCTACTTGAGTGGGAGATAGATCCAGTAGGGATTCTCTCAGACCTGGGATGACAGATTTCTGAATGGCAACTCCGATGGCTCCTGTGCAGAAGCTGTACCTCATCAAGTAAGGGTCAGTTATCCAACCCTCACTTCCAACCCACTGGTGAGGCAGTGGAGGATTTTGAGCCAGTTCCTCAAACAGAACTCTGATATCTCCAGAGTCAACAAATGCCACAACAACCATCGCTTTTGACCTTAAACATATTGCAAAAGCAAATTCACTCTAACCAGAATCGAAAATTTACCACACAAAAAGTCAGATGTGTTGACATTTCACATTATTACAACAAAGCACGCTAAATTAATGATTTTAAAAACCTGCGGATAACATCAGCTACTCGCTTGATCTTGCTAGCTGGGTCAGTTGGAAAGAAGGATTCTGAGTACTCCACACAGATTCCCTCTCTCTGTGCTGCTGCAAGAAAAGACGCCATTCCATAATTCCCATAATCTGAGTCTGAGCGGACAGCGCCTATCCAAGTCCAGCCAAAGTGTTTCACCAGCTTGGCCAGTGCATCAGCCTGGAACTGGTCACTGGGAATGGTTCTGAAGAAAGTAGGGAACTTCTGCTTGTCTGACAGACAGGCACACGTGGCAAAGTGGCTCACCTGCAATCATGCACACAGACACAAACACACAAAAACATGCAAGTGTTTTAACCATGAAATCAACAAGCAATTTCAAGAATTTCCATTTACAATTAATTCAGGTGGCTTACTAGAGGAATACTGAAGGATCCAAAAATATGCAATATGCTGATAGATGTTGTAGACCCAGAGTCTCCAACTGCCATTAAAACAGCTGCCTGGGAACAATTTTTGCTTTTGTAAAATGAACTATCCAGACCATTTGAAAGCTGAAACGCCACCTGCATGGCCACAGGTACCGAGTTGCATGAGTCATAGATCTGATATCCAAGTTTGATGCCGGGCAGCAGCTCTGAGCTGTTGTTTATCTCCTCCACAGCAAAGACCATTGTGCGGGAAAAACGCAGTTCCCTGGCAATAATGCTGCATAGAATTTGCCAGGTGAGTTGTGACACTTACTTAGGATAAAACACCAAATCACTAAAAAAGCTCTATTGTAAATTATACTGCAAACCAAAATATTCTTTTTTGCTATTTAAAAATGAAACCAAAACAAAATTTGCACACAAAATTTGATTTGTTCACAAAGACAATTTCTATGAAATCATATTCTTCAAGATGTATCTAAAGTTACATGAAACAACAATAAACACAACAGAAATCGCCACAAACTGCCAAAAACCTCAAGATGTTGCACTTTTAACATTCTCATCCGCCATTTCTCCTTCTTACTAACCTCCCTGTGCAGCCGGAAGGTTCCGGTTTGGTGGTGTAGTTATGAGTCACTGAGGACAGCTCATAATGTAATGAGAAAACCCCTCCAATAACAAAGTCCCCATCCATGGAGAAAGCAGGTAAACGAGGGGTACTCTGTAGGCTGCACTTCATCAGTGAAGAATCGGCACCAGCACCTGTCAGATCCTCGCTAAGCTCAACTCTTTGTTTCAGACTTTCCAAAGTTCCGCCCACAACATGAACTGATGTCAGCTGCATTAAACTCACTGCTAATGGCAGACACAACCAGATGGATTTGAGCTCCATTCTTTAATCATCTGTAAGCCATTTCTTCACTAGTTTATGTACCTCCTGTTAAACATCAGGTGATGATTCATCATAAACAACACTCCCTCACTAAGTCATCTATAATTACGTAATTTGTTACCTTTATGTTCACATCCATCCCATTGCATATTATTTGTTCCTTTAATTTTTTAAATAAAAGATGAACATGAGTCAACAAAGGGTAGAATGCCTTCTCCAGGTCAGGGACGAGGTCCTACCCAAGTGGAGGAGTTTAAAGGGACTTTACGGAGTTTTGAATTTTTATGCTCGCGGTTGCCCCCCTCAGGCCAAAAGCGTAACGGCAGCTTCAATAGTAGGCTTGTACGACGCGCGCATGCTGTACGTGCACACTCCTTAACGAAAATAACAGCTGAGACAGTGTGGCCCGGAGGACAGAGGACAGGAGAACGCGCAGCTAATTAATTAAATAATTTGGTTCTGTACCTTTCTCTACAGCACAGCCGACAAAGGTTTAAGATGGGTCAGTCCTCCTGCATGCTCAGATAACTCCCTTCCCTTGCTTGAAAAATTGTTCCAAAATGAAAGTTGAACCCACATCTTTTTTATCTGTGAATTCAATGCCGTTCAGCGAGTCTCAAATAAAAATTTGGGCACCTTACTGTAAAAAAATATACCATTAATGTAAAAAATAAACTAAGAAACTATGTTCACATCCAGAATCGAACCCAGGTCTTTTGCATGGACTTACTAAGCGAGCTAAAGCGCCAGTGACGTCCTTTGTATCTGCAACATTTACATCCTTGATGACAGTGGAACAACATTTAAAGAACGGTTCGGAGGGCTATGCCTGAGCGTGAACGCGCATGAAGCAGCCTGCTCGACCCGAGCAGCTCTTTTTCTGTGATTTTACAGAAAAACAGGCAATCACAGTAAAAATGCCAGGGCTCATTCTACAGGACCAGGGCATTGCAGGAGAATGTATGAAGAAGAAAGTTATTATTTCTATACATGTTTTGGCTGTCAAACTTCCATAATGCCCCTTTAAGTATCCAGGAATCTTGTTCACAAGTGAGGAAAAGATCAACCAGCAGATGGTGCTGCGTCTGCAGCGATGCGGGCGTTGTACCGGTTTGACTACAGACACCAGGAAAAAAGGTCTGTGGTCATTAAAACCTGTGGTCTTTGATTTTCTTGTGACAAGAATAAGGGTGGAAGTCTTGAAGCAGCAAGGTGTTTGGCAAGTTTTCATCAAAGTGTTCAAAATGACTGTGGAAACTTTGTCATAACTATTCAATATCTTCCTTTTTCTTACTGCTTAAGAGAATACATTTTAATGGGCTTTTTTTTTTCCTTTTTCTGTTACAAGCTGTGTTAGTTTACAAGTTATAGTCTTAACAACATTTTTGATTTTAAGTTTTGCCAGAGCATGTTTATAACAGTGTTGGGGTTATTAGGAGCGAACAATTAGTAAGCTTCAACTTACTTTTGGATTCTTCAATAAATTCTGTAAATATGTAAATATTTACTGATTTATTAATTAATTAAGATATTCTTAGATATACGGGGCACCATTCCCCTTTAACCGGGGAAAAATTGAATCCAAAACTCTTATCAGTCTTTCTTGAAGTTCGTAGAATCCTTGGAGCAGAGACTTCTCTTCGACACAACAAAGCTACTGGAGACGAAAATCTGAATTTTATAACGTTTAATTAACAATTTGTCAAATGAATAAACAGTGGCATAAATGAATAATAACCATGTGATATAATAAAAGGATGTATATTCAAAATAATGTTCAAGGTGTTTTGTGTGTATGTATGTGTGTGTGTGTGAGATGAATGGGTCTTTGTTCCTCAGAGTAGGTGGGGGGAGTGAGCTGTGAGTGTGTGTGGGGCTCTTCCCCTCCCCTCGCATCCCACAGGAGACCTGGATGTGTAAAGTTTTCAACTTTCCCGAACACTTAGTGGCTTAGAATCAGTAGTAACTTAACCTTATATCACTCAAAACATTTCAAAGGATCATGAAACAACACAAAAGATTAATCACGAATAATATCTTTTAGTTTAACCACGTGGCCAAGCAGAAAACATTTAAAGATACCAAACAATGATCAATAAGCAGTTTATTCTTTCAAAATGACCCGAAGGACGAATTGGGAGCGAAAGAGGAAAACACGAAGCTACTTTTTAAGCAATAGCGCGGTTTTATTGCTTATTCTGGACTATAGAGGAAACGGGAGAAGAAAAGGAGAGAGAGAAATGAGCTTTCTGATCACCAGAGCAGCAAGGCGTCCCCAGCTGTTTGATTTGACGGTTCTCCGTTTTTCTCCGCAGTTTTCAGCGTCATCCGTCGGTTTGATGCTTTCTCCGTTGTTTGGCTCCACGAGTGTTTCTCCACGGGCTGGACACAAAGAGAACGAAGTTTCTTTTGTGCTGAGTTTGACAACTTACAGCGTCTCTGAGAGCTGGATGGAGCTCCGCTCGTTCCCAGTCAGGTCCCGATGGAGTTAGTGGTTTCCAGCGGTTGCGTGGCTCAACTTGGGCACTTAGAGCTTCCGCGTGCTCAAGTTGTCGGAGCGTTCGACAAGCGTGTCCTTACCGCCAGGTATCCTGGGCAAAAGAACGAGGTTTCTTTGTCTCTGCTGAAGATTTATGGTCTTAGTTCGTGGGAAAAGCTCCACGGCTTCCCGCACATGCGCAGAACGTGTTTCTGGTACTAGGCGGTAACATCACCCAATGCTTCCGTGTGCAAAGCATCATGGGAAATGAAGTTTCTTGGCGCTGATGTGATTATTTGCTTTCCAGAGCAATTTAAGCACAGTCATTTTGGAGAAAATCACTGCATAGTAATTTCCTCATGAGGTCAGACCCTCAACATTCCCCCTTTTGGTTTCGGGGATCGCGCCCAAAGCTCGATCGTCGGAAGCACAGATGGGTTTGTCCCTCATGAACGTAGGTCGACTTGATTGTTAGAAGCACAGGTGGGTTTGTCCCTTAGGATGTTGGTCTCCTTGGACGCCTTTGTCTTTGGTCTTTGTCTTGGATCCTGGCGCCTTTGGTCTTTGATCCTGGTCAGGCACAAAGAGGATAGGAAACGGGATAGTCCCCAACGCGCATAACGAGAAGAAGCCACTCACGCAGGTGGTACGCAATGATGATGTCGTCCATGCGAGAGGTAGTAGTGTAGAAGGAGGAAGGTCGGTGGGCGGTTAACTCCACGAGGGGACACAAAGGCATCTCACCGCCGGCCATACAGTTCAGTTTATGGAGCACGCGGTGATGTACGAGGTCCATAGTTCGCAAACGCGCATTGACCTATGTGGTCCCAAGATTCCCCCCTTTTTGGTCCAAAGGGTGGATCAGGACAGTCTTTGGGCTAAAACAAGGACCATAAAACTAAGAGGTATTACAATGTGCTGGTGCGTCAGACAGAGTCATTGACAGACTGAGCTGGGCCGGCACATAACCACTAGTTAATATGTGACCAAGTAAGAAACAAAAAATACAGAAAACCCCCCAAAAAAAACATATAACATCCAAGAAAATTCATAGCAACCTTGAGGTCTCATAAAATACATTCTTAGGTCATACATTCCGTGTGTAGCTTTTAAAGAATGTGACATACTGCAACACTCAGATAAATATGTGAGGTAGACTAAAATGAGAACTACTCTTAGGGTTACAAAATAATAAAGAAAACGTTGCTCACCCCCTTTAGACAGGTGTGGTACATTCACGCTTGGAATCTCCCCGAACGCGGTCACGAGGCACACCGTAGGTGTGCAAGTGCATCTTATCTTGGAGTTTCTTAACACGCCTGTAGGCGGAATAAGCAATCACGGCCGTGATGAGCCATCCCATCCCCAGGGCGACCAATGTGCAGATTAAGGTCGTATAATCTGTGTCAATGTAGCATCTTGGGCGTCAAAGTAAGTTCACGTGGGGTTTGTGTGAATTTAACAAATTTAGTTCCTTCAATCAGTAATTGTTGGTCAATTTCTAAATCGAAGGCAAAGTTATAACCCTGGAAAGCGTCCATGATCTCAATCTCCGAATCATGCTGTTCGAGGTTGAGGTGATGGAGTGCCAGGTTTCTAGTTCAAAGTGGAAATGCCTACCGTCCTTTCAAATACCAATGTTCAGCATCGACTTAAACCTATAGATGTGAGTTGTCACAATTATGGGAACATGTAAAAGGAAACCGAGTTCTAATTTTCTGCATCAACGTGAATGGGCATTGCACAACCTAAGCTGTACGCTAGGTGGATTTGTGAAAGGTGCACATTAGAGGGGTAAGTACGGGGAAATACGACTTGCAACCAAGCTGTCTAGCGTGGAACTTACTTCCCTGAGCAGGTCCTGCATCAAATCTCTCACCACTCGTGTGTACACAATATCCTGATGTATGGTTTCAGACAAAGTCTTGATTGCACGTAGATATTCATTAATCAGAGCAGAATGTAGGTTGACAGTTACAAGAGTACCCTGTAAGGTTTTAGTGAGTACATCCTGTTAGAGGTCTAGGAGGAGTTTCTCTTGGTTAGTGAAAGTGACGGCGGGGGGGCCTGGTTCTTTGTCGGTTAGTACATGTTAATGGGTTAAACGTGCACTTTCCCCCCTTTCCATTTCCATGCATAGAACTATGTAGAGACTACGTCTACCTCCTGCGGGGAGTCTGGTCTCTGTACCCGCGGGGACGGTTTGACGTAGGGTTTGATTTGGTTTGCATGCACCCATTTGTAGACAGGCTCCTGTCTCGCTTTGGTGATGCGTAACCTGTATGCAACTGGAGAGAGTTTTGCCACGATCTCAAATGGTCCTGACCAGCAGGGCAGGAACTTCTTAGGTTTGCGTGCCGGTTGGGCGAACCGAAAGTAGAATACTTTGTCACCCACCTCGTATTCGCGGCTGGTTGTCTTTTGGTCGTAGTAGGCTTTAGCGCCTTCTACGTTGGTCTCCAGTTTCTTCTGAGCGTGCGCGAACGTAGCTCTGA